CTCATCCTCCTGGTAAAAATACAAAAGAGAACAGCATGTATAAGAATCAGTTATTTGTATACTTGACTATTCATGCACACTACATAGAAAGTATCCAAAAATAAACTTTTGTCTACTAAAAACTGGCAAGTTACAAAATATTAATGTCAAACCTAAAATGCTTCAATTTTTAGTGTAGTTCTTAGACATAGATTAGAAACTCTAATAAAAATCTTGGCTTAAATCCTTTAAAGGTAGCACGACAGATGAACTCTAAAGAATACATTGGGTCTTTCATACACTAGATATATGGCTTTGAGCAAGCACTTTAGTGTCTGTCTACTCATCCACAAAAAGCAAGGGTTATTACCTACTTCACAAATGTGAGATTAAGTGTTTGGCACATTTCAGTGCTTACTAATACTTACACACGTATTCCAAAACGTACATGGCATTTATGTTGTGACTAGTACTTAAATCAGTGCAACTTCAGTCTAAAGTGAGTGTGTAGCTGAATACCTCCTTTATACCCTCCAAATGTTCTTTGCCCACACAACAGTTAATCATGCTATTCTGATTCTGATCATAAGTTGACAATACAGCCAAGCATCTTCGTACTCAGATTTGTTCTCAGCAGATAAGACATTAGGAATATTTTAGAACTGGTGTCCTGATTACAGCCATGTTATCTATAGGAGCAGGAGCATTCCCTAATCCGACCTGGGAAGTCTGAACTGCAGATGTGATCTAAGAGCAACAGCCAATTTGGAATTTCTGGAAAGCAAATGAGCTTGCACTTAGGGTTGTATGGACAGAAAGGCAAAAAGTCCCACCACAAAGCACCACAACTCCAATCCCTGTTAATAAAAAGGGAACTAAATCAAAGGGATTTGACTTAAAGTAGGCTCCCTTTATACCAAAATTCAAGAACGTAAGATTATTGATACTTTGGCATTAGAGTAAGAGAAAGTTTGACAGAAAATTTAAGACAATTTTAAAGACATGCAGAACATGATGCCGTCAGTCTGATAAGGGTGGAATATATCAGTAATACCTGTTCTAGTACCATGTTTCAGAGTTTTTATCCAAGAACTGATTTGACTGACAAGACTGAAGACTGCAGAAAAGTCGAATACAATCCTAAAATAAATTAACACAAACCACAGAATAACAAGGGTTAGAAAATGTTACTGTTTGGTCCCTAACAGCACTTTGGATTTCCAAAAGCAAAAATTTAATTAGGAATGAATGTTGATAAACATTTTAAGGCTCTTAAGTCTACCTAAAACACATTAATGTGTGGATCAGGTACATCTGATCAAACACATTTTTAACATGAGCAACCCCTATCAATTTGAGATTTTGCTGCTTGAATTTAAAACCTCTTCTCACCATCCTTATTTGCCCATTCAAGTGTCAAGCCACATCAAAATAAAGGCTTACACCTTTCAGGATTTCACTTTTTAATTAAAAGCTACATATACACAGAAGTGCAAAGCCAACCACTGCAGTATATAATGCTAAAAGAGAGTACAAGAATGTTTAAATATCACAGTGATACTATCAACCTCTCAAACCAGGATAAATAGGATAATGTATTAATACTCAAATCAAGTAATTACCAGATTTTATTCTGGTTTTCAGAAAACCAGACATTCTGTCTCATTTCTAACTTTTGATGACACTTCCTATTCAACAGAAGCATAAAAGGTTTAACATTTCTATATTTGTTACAACTCTAATAATGTTTAGCTTGCTATTTTATTTATCCACGCTACCCCTATTCCTCCGTTCAACTGTGGTTGTTAGTCTCTGCTGTATAGAATAAGCCTATTTAAATAATTCAGACTTGAATTGTCAACGAGAAATTATTTTCCACATGAATTCCTTCAGTAAATATAAAGTGTGACATAGTATATTCTTTAAATCATGCAGATTGTTAGATAAACTTTGGTAAACAGATAGAGAGACTTCAGAAAAACATACTGAAGTGATTTCATTTAAAAAAGTTATTATGTGATGGTTAGAAAAGAGGATCAGCATCAGTATCACTGAAATTAGTGTAACTATAACAATGTTTAGAATCTTAAAAAATTCAACTTCTTTTTTATCTTTATCAGGCCAGGAACATGGCATCCTTTTTGAAGAAATTTTCATTTCAGGAATGAGAAGTTTCTTAATTTGTCCAATTTCTGTTCTGCTCCAATCTTCTTTCAATACTTGGCTTACTCGGGGATAAATTTCAACAGGTTGGACCTCAGGAAGTGGTCTTTGTTTCAAGATCTGCACACGTTGGCGGACATCATCAACTTTTTCAAGAAATTTAAGTGGAGACTCTTCTTTTAAAGATGTTGTCAATGTCATTAATTCAAGCTGCTGCTCTCTCATTTCTTTCATTCTTTCAATTTGTGGAGTATATTCTTGATTAATCAGATTGCCAACATCACAAAGAGCAGTTAGGAAACATTTTTTTTTCTGTTCTAACGTATCACTAAGCTCCTTAAAATACTGGAGAACAACTTCCTTATCACCTTGGACCATTTTCTCCGAACGAGATTTTTGTTCTTCCAGCTTTTCAATAAGACGAGTAAGATCTGTCCAGTGTGTGTCTGTTAACTGTTCAACCAGTTTTTGAGGTGTGTCCCTTTCTCTCATATAGGCGCTCTGAAGATCATCTATAGGATGGCCAAGATGTTGACCTATGGTAAGACAGTGACCACAAACTAATTTTTTATCCAGTAGACAGTAAACATTTAATGGCTGCCTGTAATGCTCAGGGCAGGTGACAATATCCGGATGGTCTTCTTGCTGGTACTTTTCAATAATAGCCCTTAATGCAAAATTAACAGGTAAAGATTCAATACCAGTTGGAGCAATTTCAATAATACTTCTGCAGTTAGGGCACTTAAGAGGAATTCGTAAAGGTCTCCATATATAAAAGTTGCCAGATGCCTGTAGAACGTTTTCCAAGCAATTTCTACAAAATGTATGAGAGCATGGTAGTACACGAGGATCTTCAAAAATACTGTAACAAATGGGACATGTTAACTCATCCTCAAAATTGTGCATTTCCTGTCAAGAGAAAAAGGTACTTTAAGTCTACAAATAACAAGGACACATGTACATGTGAAATAACAAGTTAATTCCTAGCAAAATTACATTCTTCAATTCATACTCCCAGGTGGCTCAATGATAGTTTCTAAAATAAGTGACTAAACTTCTGTTTCATAAATTTCTTAGCTTCTTGAATGGAATACTAGTATGTCTGCTTAAAGCACTGGATCTGCATAGTATAATACTGTGAAGCAATATTAATTTAAAGAATTAGAAGGGAAAAACATTTCTGAGTTCTTGCAACAAAAAAAAGCTTGAAAGATGGAAGTGTTGATTGTGGTAACTATGAATTACTGACCACTAGAGCATTAGTGGTAAAGAACACCATTAGTCATCTTTCCTTCATGAAAGAAATCCACCAACAGTTCTGAGACCCCCTCTGACACAAGTAACAACCTCTCGGCAAGCCATTATTGACATTTCCAACAACAGAAGCCTGACATTTTTTCATCCTACCACCTAACAGTCTTCCTTTATACCTAATCCTCACTGCAAGCCACAATCCCTCAAGACTGACTTTGCTCTGATACAGAAAAATCAAATTGTACCACTGTTTGAAGAACCATAAAAAGCAAGACAATACCCAAGTGCCATTCATGTAAAATATAAAGCTTACCAAATCCTCCTCTATAAAAACTAACTTTTAAAAGTTTGAGAAAACAACATCTACAAATAACTAACTGTACTTTTAATAAACATAAAAACCTCTTTAGACTTAGGTCTGTGTGCCTTATCTTCACCATTTGCAAAAGCAAACTCTTATTCGTTCAAGTCTCAACTTGATTCCCACCTCCTCCCCAGATTAGGTCCTCTGTTAATCTCACTGAACACACTGCACTTCTACTTTCTAGCACTTAGCTGAATTTTACTTAAAAGAATTTTGTAACATTTTTCTATACATTAGAATATAAGCCTGCAGTAAGGGCAGGAATTGTGTCTGAGTGCAGAACTTGACACACAATAGGCATTCACTCCATATTGGCTGAATAAACACTACCTCTTAAGAGACCAATGTTAATAAAATGTCAAATCTTAGTTTTGCAAAATCTTTGCTTAGGAAAAGTTCTATCAAGAGTCCATCGGAAAATATTCCATTCAGATTGACAATATTAATAACCCTAATGAGCCAAGATGTGGCAGAGACCAAGAAGCTTGAACTGTGAAGCATTCCAGGAAACAAAAGTAATTGGGCAGCAGTACAGAAGATGACATTCACTGCAAATAAATTCAAGTGCCTACATGTTGAGAAATCTTTATGACTACAACTATACCTAACAGAGCTCTGAAATCATAGGAAAACCACACAAGAAAAACAAACATTTTCTCAGTTTATTTCAGTGATGTCAGAATTCATAATGAAGGAATAAACAGAACAGCACTTTGCAAGGAAGGAATAAAATTTGAGCAGTGGACATATATTCAATTTAGATTTAATATTAAAGCTATTTAATGTTTAAGTACCAAAAATTGGCCCTAAAACAGAATCCAACCTTTCCCGCCAAAGTCCTATATTTATCAAAAAATTAGAAAACAACATTTTCCCTGGGAACCCATTTAAGGACCCCCAAAAGCTCAACTTTATTGTAAAGAGAGTATCTCTTGAATTTACATAAAATGGAAGCAAATACGGTCTCAAAAGTTACTTCCATAGCATGTAAAAGTTAATAAAATTTTATCAGAAATATGTAGATAATTTGAAGTACATTAATCAAATCTGTTCTCAGACTACCTTCTTCCAGATGATTTATTAAAAACTGGTTTTAGGCAACAAATTCATGAGAAGTGAGAAATGGCTAACAGAAGTAAGCCTGGGTTGAAAATAACTTGTAAGGCCAGGAACTTTCTGACTCTGGTTGCTGCCCGAGACACAGAAAACATAGGTGGCTATCTTGCTTAGGGGGGTTGTTCTTCCAGAAACTAGTAAGAATTTTATGCACCAGAAATTTTCCATAACCAGCCTAGACTCTTGAGCAGGGAGGAAGGAGCAAAAAAATGTTTCCTATGAACATTTTCTGGGATGAGTATCTTTAATTTAGGTACTCTGTGTGTGTGTAACAATAATACTGAAAACTAAAAGACAAGCAATTCTTCAACATTCTCAGGAAAACAGGGAAATTATACACCCAGAGAAAGTAAATTTTGAAGGTAGACTAAAGGTAGTCTGACATGAAAAGTCTCAAAAATGAACCACCCCTCATCCATTCTTTCTAAAGAAGCTCCTGCAGGGAGAAAAAAAACGTAAGAATTCTCACCAGGATAACTGTGAAATGAACTCCTGAATGTTTATGCAGCAAGTGTAGAGGAAAACTTGGAGGAAGAAGAGAGAAATCCAGAAGGAATGTCTAAGTAAATAAATAGAACTGACAATATTTCATGTGTCTTAACATATTGAGAGGTAACGAGAAAACTAAATTTAGAGAAAAGTGACAGAATCATGTAAAGAGAAAATACTACACAGTACATGATACTGCTCAGTTGTCTTATTAGTCGTAAATATCAAGTAATGATTTTACAAAAAAGTATGACTTTTATGGATTGAATGTTTGTGTCTCCTCAAAATTCATATGTTGAAATCCTAACCCTTAATGCAATGGTATTAGGAGGTAGAGCTTTTTGGAGGTAATGAGGCCATGAGATTGGAGCACTCTTGAAAGAGATTAGTGCCCTTTCAAGGAGAGATACAGGGCTTCCTCCCTGTCTTTCTCTACTATCTGCCATGTGAAGACACAGCAGGAAGATGGCCATCTGCAAACCAGGAACAGCTTTTGCCAGAACCCAACCATGCCAACATCCTGATCTTGGAATTCCCAGCCTCCAAAACTGCAAGAAATAAATGTTTGTTGTGTAAGCCACCTAGTCTACAGTATCTTTTTTTTTTTTTTTAGTTACAGTATTTTTGTTGTAACAGTCCAAACTAAGAAAATGACAAAATTATATTGAGAGAAGGGAGGAGGAGGGAATAAGGGAAGGTTTCACAGTGTTTAAGAACTAATCTTACAAGAAGTCAGTACATATCTAGAAGTGAAAAAATCAAGAAACCACATTAAAGACAAATTATTTAGAAATAGAGAAGCAATACCAAAAGAAATAGTTAAGAAATGGAAGTGACTGCTTCTGGAGAGTAAGAATCAAAAGTGGGGAGAGTGAGGGGAGGAGGCTGCTGTTTCTCATTATAAACCTAATTCTGCTGTCTTACTTTCAACTATTATCATACAATTAAAAATATTAAAAATTTAAAGAAATAAAGACAATCCCATATGCATCAAGGCAGAAAAGTAAGATGCCTAAAAAGAAAACAAAAACATAATGGTCACAAAATTCTCTTGGGAGACTATATAATTTCCAAAAATGGCCACAACAGTTAGCTCCCACATATGCTCGTTTCTGATGTAACTTTGCATACTCCCCCATCAAGAGATGAAATCTATTCTCCTCTTAAAAAGATCTGGGCAGGATATATAACTGCTTTGACGAACAGTATACAGTACAAGTGACAGTTCTGGGTATAGATCTTAGCTAGCCTGGGAGATTGCTGCCTCTTCACTATATAAAAAGTCTAAGCTACCTTGCAGCAAGAGAGACCAAGTGGAGAAGCAATGAGATGCCAGACACATTACTGAAAAAGTCATCTTGGACATGCAGCCATCCAAACCTTCAGATGGTTGTTACACAGCTGTAGATAACGAGAACATCTCCAAAGCAAAAGGGAATGCTAAAAGACAATGCAGCAATCAATGTTCACAAGGGTCTAGAAGGAAAAGGATATGACCCAAGAATTCTCTATCCAGCCAAGATGCAATTTATTCATGTGAAATAATATAAATACTCTTGGCAAAATCTACAGGGTTTAAAAAAAAGTTCTACAGGGCAGAGTTGAAGCCAAATACCTTCATCACAAAACAAAAAAAGTAATATAGAAAGAATTCATCTTTTAAAAAAAAGGGGGGGGGAACCAATCTAGGAAAATAAGAAGAAATGACGAATATGAGAAGAGAAAATTGTTAGACTTGACAAATCCAAGAGCTGGCTCTTTAAATAAGTAAACAGGCCATTAGCTATCTGTGATAGGCAGCTTCCAAGATGGCCCCCAATGACCTCCACCTCCTGGTGGTCACATCCCTTTGTAATCCCCTCCTGAGTGTGGGCTGGACCCAGTAACTTGCTTCTAACAGAATACAGCAGAAGTGACAGGCTATCACTTCCAAGATTTTGTAATAAAAGGCCATGGCTCTGACTCTCTCTTCATCTCTCTTAGATCACTCTCACTGAGGGAAGCAAGATGCCATGTTGTAAGGAGATCAAGGTCCACTGGTGTGGCAAGAAACTAAGGCCTCTAATTTAACATCCTCCAAGAAACTGAAGCCTCAAACAACTACATAGTAAGCTTGGAAGAAGATATCTCAGTTCCAGTAAAATCCTGGAATGACTGCAACCTCACGAGAGACGATGGGCCGGAGGCAGTCAGCTAAGTTGCTCCTAGGTTCCTGACCCAAAGGAACTGTTTGAATTTTTGTTTCAGGCTGCTAAGATTTGGGATAGTTATGTAGCAATAGATTACTATACTATCTTAAACAAGGGGGGAAAGGAAGAAACAACAAATGTACCAAGTTAGCATTAAAAAAAGGAAATAAACCAAACATAGAAAAAGCCAGAATTATAGAGAATAACTTACATAATTCTATGCTACTTTATTCGAAAATCTACAAGAAATTATTCTGTGTCAGTTCAAATACCAAAACTGCCTGGAAAAGATAAAGCAAATCCTCAGAGAAATTCACAAGTTGGGGAAGTGCTACTCTGGAAAAAAGGGGGGGGGGGGGCAAGCTTCTCTAGTGAGTCAATTCAAGTGGTAAAGAAACAATTTCTTGTTCAGCTGCTCCAGAACACAAGATGGAAACTTCACCATTTTCTTTCAATTTTTCTTTTCTTTTTTTGGCGGGGGGTTAATTAGGTTTATTTATTTTTAGCTTTTTTTTTTTTTCAAATGGAGGTACTGGGGATTGAACCCAGGACCCTCATGCATGCTGGGCATGCGATCTAGCACTGAGCTATACCCTCCCTTTCTCCCTGCAAATTGTTTTGAAGATAGTATAATACCATTCCAAAACCTAACAAAGACAATACAAACTAAAAATAGACCAATTTCAAAATGATTACTGATGTAAAATCCTGAACACAGTATTAGCAATAAATCAATCCTGAACACATTAAAAGAATACAGTACAGGACCAAATAAGGTTCTTCCCAGAAATGTAAAGTTAATTCAATAACAGAAAATTACTCAATCAGGTCAATGGAGAAAACTGCACTATCACATTAGATGTGAAAAATGCACATAATATAAAAACCAGTAAGCACAATCCACACAGACAGTGAAATGGTGGTTGCCCAGGGCTAGAGGGAGGAGGGTTGGAGAGTTACTGTTTAGTTAGTACACAGTTTCAGTATGGGAAGATGAAAAAGTTCTGGAGACAGATGGTGGAACATATTTAATATGAAATGTACTTAATGCCACTGAACTATACACTTAAAAATGGTAAAAATGGTAAATTTTATGTATATTTTAAAAACTTTAAAAATGTGTCTTGCCAATTACCCCTTTCCCTGCCAAATTACTTTTAGAATCAGTTTATATTATTGTATACTTTTAAAAAGCAAAAACTTAAAATAACCCATATAAAATGTTATCTTCCTCCAGTGAGTACTAAAAGCCCAAGTACATACTGATAATTCAGTTCAAGATTTCCTGCTTCCCTTTTAAAAGTCACCAAGAAATATAAATATAAAAAGAAATCTCTTCAGAAATAAACCTGAAGCTAAATCATCTGCTTGTAAATTATTTCACAAATTTCTTGTGTTTAAATGTCAAAAACAAACACACTACTGCATTTCTAAACTTTTTATGCAGTCTTTCTCCAGAGGGCTAATTTCCTTTGAAGCCTCCACAATGTCTAACCAGCATATTATGGACGGTCAGCACTACAAGTAGATGATGGAGAATCAAGCAATACCAAAAATACCACTATTCTCCTGTGTAAACTATTAACTTTTAGTTTCCTAATGCACTAGTGCCTTTCATCTCTAAGCATGAATGGTTATAAAACATTCATTACATTTTACAACCTCTGAAGAAAAATTTGCCACATTATAGAGTTAGTTGGCTTGCTCTAGGACTCATAGTGTGAGTCAGCTAAGTCTGGGAAAATTGAAGAGATGTCACCACCCAGGCTGGGGCTCACATCGCAGGGGCCCTAACTGATAAAAAGCACATTGTATGCAATTCAAGACTTACTTTACAAACACTACAACTGTACCATCTACATATAAAGGTAAGATTTTAAAAACACTTTTGTACATACAAATATACAAAAATAATAAAGAATCACCATAATGCTTTCAAATTAAAAAAAAAATCCTATGGTCAGATCTGATTTTAACTCTGACCGTTTGGACTGTTTCCCTGCATTTTGATGTCAAACTGTTTACTCAAACTAAAAAACTATGAATGCCATTTAACCAGGAACAGAAATGAGAAGTTAAGGGGTTTTTTTTGCTTTTCTATACTTTTCAAAGTGGAACTATATATTTGGTTGGAAAAAATTCAATGTGTCTGCAGAAAAGCTATGTTAAAACTAACATCACCTAAAATCAAATTTTCACCTTGCCTGACTAGTTAAATTATGGTACCTCACTTTAAAGGATAGCTACTTGCTCATAAAAGAGGAATGAAGACCAATATGGACATGCATGGCAAAAAGGTATCCAGATAAGTAATAAACTCAACTTGCAGATCTCTATGTGTTAAATGTGTGTGTCTATTAAGATGCACACATCGTTGTAAAATTTGTAGAGGGTACACAAAGAGTTAACAGTGACTAACTTTAAGGTATAGGTCAGATAAGGGAGTTGTTTACTTTTCACTTTATGCTCCTTCTATATGGTCTGAATTTTATACATCACAGACATGTATGTCTTTTTTCAACATTTAAAATTTTCACCTTACAATTTAAATCATTCACTCAGTAAAAATTTACTGAAAATTTCTTTGGTATTCACTTAATCGCCCATAACTTACCGCTTTGCTGACTTTCTGGTTTGGAGACTGAATATACTTTTATCTTCTCCAACTTTACAGATTCTTTTATTCTTATTCTAAAATTAAAATAATTTTATCTTAATGTTCTAGATTTACATTCTCAAAAAATATGTTAAGTGCGTTATCGCAGAGAATGGATTTTTCAGCCTGCTGTTTACCTTCCCTAAGCCTCGTGTTTTTAGAAAAGAAGCGTTACAAATATCAACAGCTGTGAAGTCGCAGGAGCGGTATCACCTGTACTATGAAAATCCCAACAATTCTGTGACCAAATAAACTGTCACAAAGGACCTCTTTTTATAGAGTTAAGTATCTTACGAGCTCTTGAAAATATTAGTCAACAATGGCAAAGACGGAGCAAACATTCATGGTCGTTTCATATTCATGAAAGTTAAGTGGAAGACAAGAAACATCCATGTGAGTGAAAGATTTTGACAGCTTAAAATTATAAATATTGATTTAGGTTATTCCCATCCATATGTCTGTCTGTCTCTCAGTTCTGCCACTTAAATGGTGAAACACCCTAGGTCAGTTTTACCTAAATGTGTCTCAGAACTGAGGCTTCACATCTGTAAAATGGGCATAATTACACCTAACCCTGCTAAAAGTAACGATAACCTCTCATAAAGGAGGAGCTCAAAACAGCAGTCCCCTTCCCCTTCCCGAAGATTTACGACAAACCCTCCCGGGCATCTCCCAGTGCGCCTTGGCGTCCCCCGCTCCCAAACCCCGCGAGGCCGCCCAGCTCCGCGGAATCCCGCCCCTCTCACCCTCACCACTGCGGGGGGCCTTCCTCCCTCAAGGAAAAGAAGTTCCCTATTGGAGGAAGGAAGCCAAGGTTCCCCAAACTCTCCACCTGGGACAGGAGGGAAGAGACGCGGAACCCAAGCCAGCCCTCTCCAACATCAAGCGCCTCGACTCTCCTCCAGACACATGCACTATACCAGCCTGCGCCACAGGGAAAGAAGAGGGACCACAGCCGCCTTCTCGGACCAGAAGAGATGTTCCTTAGACTCACCGAGGGGACGGCGAAACGGGGTAAAGCCACCGGCAGAGGGAGAGCTCCGCGGCCTCCGCCTGGGTGCTGAGAGCTGCTCGGCGTCTCCGCCCTCCTCCGCCCTGAGGGCCTTCAGTTGCCGAGAGCAGGCGGGGCTTCGGAGCCTCAGGACGCAGGCGCAGTCTCCCGGCAACCTTCAACTGCGTGGCATCCGCAATGAGAAAGAGCGC